TATAGCCAGGTCTTGAGGGACTTGTGGAATGTTAAGATGGATGGAGCTAATCTCACTGCTGATGGGAGAAGATTCCACAAGGCGGGCGTCACGGCAGAGAACGCCCGCCTCCTGGGACCCACCAAATATAATTCTCTGGCAGATGGGATCCGCAGCATTCCTTCTCTGCCAGACCTGATGGGACGGGCAGGCAAAATCGGGGAGAGGCGGTTCCTCTGGCCATCCCAGCATCCCTATGGTCACATGATCGTGATCTGGGTGCTTGGCAACCCGTTTGCACTTACAACAGGTTGCCAAGTCCCTGCGATCACATGATCGCCATTTGCAACCTTCCCTGCCGGCTTCAATGGGGAAAAGCCAGCAGGGAAGGTTGCAAATCGCTGGAGTAAGGCTCTCCCACCTGCGTGCCTTCCCCCAGCCCCTCTGTGCTTGCGCTGCGCTGGCCACTCGCACACTCTCCCTGACCTGCATGGCACATCTTATGCACCCCTTCACACCCTTGTGCACTCTCCCTGACCCTCCTCAACCCACGCAGCACCTCTTGTGCACCCTTGCGTACCCTCCCCAACCCATGCAGTGCCTCTTATGCACCCCCTTTTACCCTTGTGCATCCTCCCTGACCCATTCCTGCACACCTCCTTGCTTCCTCCTTACCCAACAGCAGCCACTTACCTGCCTGTAAGCCTGGGACTTGCAACTTCCTGCTGGCTTCCCCGCTGACTTTGGTTCTCGGAAGCCAGCAGGAAATTGCCTTGCCTAATGACCGTGGGATTAAGTTAATGATGGCGACTGGGACTGTAGGAATTGCTGGTACTAAGCAATGTGGTTGCGCTTTACAACCGCATCACTTAGTGATGGAAATTCCGGTCCCAATTGCTGTTGTAAGTCGAGATTACCTATATTTGGCTGACTTTGTGTAATATGATAAACTCTAAGTCTAGGTTAACTGGGTTGACAACTTGCTCCATCTAAACAAATAACATACCAAGACAATGATCAGATCCCCACAACAATGGAAACTAGAAACAACCCAACCTCATTTTAGCCTCATTTAACATGTTGTGTGAACCTAATCTATGAATAGTATTATTACAGATTTCAACAATGTTCATTTTTTTTCCTGAGGGCTTACGTCCTCTCTTCATGTATTATATTATCATGTGTCTGCAATACGCTTCTATGATTTTTATAGATCTAACCAGAATGCTGCTGTTCAACAGAAATAGTGATATAAATTGATCATTTGAAAAATTATCTCCTGGAAACCAGTGCAGGAGTACCCTTATCTCCCTTCAAGATAAGGAACTGATTTGGTAATTAAGGTGCTTCAGCCAAAAAAAAAAAAAAAAGTGGAAGTTGCTGGGCTATTGCCAGATTTGCAGTAAAGAAAAAGTTTACATTTTCACTTATGTATATGTGTTTGTAGAATTAAAAGTACAAATAAATATTTCAAATGCTTTTTTGTTTTACTTCTGCTTTGTAATACTTATTGGTACTGTTTCTAACAACTTCAGGCTTATTAGCCATATTGTATCATGGTTCAAATGATTTTGTGATACTTTAAATTTTATTCTGTGAACAGGAACTAAATACTGTAACCACTTTGAGCAACTTCCTGAAGGAAAAATGAGATTTAAATCTAACAACTTAATTTATTAACTGGTTGGTTTATGTGTTATTACTGTAGACATGCACTTTAATATATATGTTTTCTTTTTAAATAGCAATTATAGAAAGTTTCTCATCTGTAGCAGGCCAGTAAAAGAGATTAGATCATCTTCCATATTGCGGTGCTGTTGTTATTTGCTGTGGGAAAGGATTTTGGCAGGAAAGAAAAGGTTAAAAATATTTCTCAATTGGCACTTCTAAGTTTTTGAAAAACCAGCTACTTCTACAGATGTACATATATAATATCTAGCTGGACCTCAGGATACATAATTCAGCAAGATAGAGCTGCACTATTTGCAGTGTATTAGCAGTAGACTAATTATAAATTCAGTAAAATGTATTTTAGAGAGTTATACTCCTGTGTGTCTTATACTATGGTAATATTTGTGCATGCTATTTTGCATTAATCCAACTTGTTTCTCACTAGGTTTTGGAAGAAAGGATGTTGTGGAACACTTGCTACAGACAGGAGCCAATGTCCATGCTCGTGATGATGGTGGATTGATACCTCTTCACAATGCCTGTTCCTTTGGTCATGCTGAGGTAGTTAGCCTCTTGCTGTGTCAAGGAGCAGAACCAAATGCCAGAGACAACTGGAACTATACTCCTCTGCATGAAGCTGCAATTAAAGGCAAGATAGATGTGTGTATTGGTAAGTGTGTCTTTCTTTAAAATGTCTTGGGTGTCTTTTATGTTAAAGAATTACATAAGTATCAAAGTCAAAGCATGTTTAGAAATTCCATTGAGAAGTCTGTACAAGTCTTCTAACTGTATTTTATAAGGTTTTTACTAGGTAATACAAAAAATATAAAGTAAATAGAATCAAACTTAATCAGCCAAAACAATGTTACATTCAAGCATTGCCAAATTCAATTTAAATATAAAATTCTACCGTCTATGGCCTGAAAAATTTTGATATTTGATTCATACAATATTTGGGATTAATTTACAACTTTACTAGATTCAAGATAAGAGATAGCTGTGTATGTATGTAATACATATGTAAAATTTAAGAATTCTTCCCATAATTTTTTCAGCATCAGGTTTTGCAGCTATGACACTGAATTACCATTATCATAAGGCAGAAAATAATGTGCATAGATAATGATATAAGAATATAATTGATTGGATTTTGACCTGTATGCCATTTAGATTTTGATGTTAAACGTATCATTTTAGTCCTTTCCTTATTGATTATTAAATTCTTGACTAGACAGTGTACTTCCAAAGTAACCAGAAGCCTTCTAAAACTAAATTAAGTAATAAGTAAGGTCATAACATATAACATACCATAAAATACAATAAAATAACAGTGGAATAGTAAGATTGTAAAATGAAATAATAAAAAGAATAGTAGACGTAAGAAGGATAAAACAAGATAAACCTAGAGCTATGATGTACTTCCAAAGTAACCAGAAGCCTTCTAAAACTAAATTAAGTAATAAGTAAGGTCATAACATATAACATACCATAAAATACAATAAAATAACAGTGGAATAGTAAGATTGTAAAATGAAATAATAAAAAGAATAGTAGACGTAAGAAGGATAAAACAAGATAAACCTAGAGCTATGACTAAGAAGTATTTCTTTCTAAGTTTAAATGACAGCAGAGCAAAAGTAGTAAGCTGGTTGCTAACATTTGGAAACATGACTGCAAGAAGATAGTTCAGTTGTTCAAGCCCTGAGCCCTTGAGTTCACCTACCATCAATAAATTAAGTATAAGATAGAAGAAGATGATATTTCTGCAGGTATAAAGTTTTCTTCCATTAATTATTGGATCCTTCCCTCCCTTCTGTTAAAATCATATCCAGCCTTTCATTCAGGAACTCAGGGTGGCATACGTAACATTTCCTTCTCCCATTTTTTTCCCATAGCAACAACCTTGTGAGGTACCTTAGGTTGGGAGAGAGTTACTAGCCTAAAGTCACATAGTGAGTTTCCACTGAGGAAGGGTTGATGGTCAACTTGACCCAAGTGCCAGTTCAACAGCTTAGCCCCACTGCCTTTCATTTTGTATTTGTTGTATTTTGAACAACGAATGACAAAAGAAAAGGTACAAAATAGAAGTTAGCTAGTCCCATTATTTTTTCATTTTTCAATCAGCTGGATATATCTGATGAGAGAACCTGAATCTGATATTCTCACTTTCTTGATTATAACTTTCAGTCAAAAAAGCAGAAAAGGTCCCAGTACTCCACTGATTGATAAACTTTATGAAGGAAAGTTGTGGGACACAAGAAGCCTGTTGGGCATATGGGCATCCTGAAGTACTATATTGCTGACCTGTCTGTTGAGGAACAACTTTTTGACAAGGTTATCTTTTAGAAAAATGTGTTTTTGTGTGTGTATGTGTGTGAGAAGTTATAAAAGTGGTATCCAGACTCTAGTTTCACTGAATTATACTACATCTTTTATATTATAATACAGGTAGTCCTTGGTTAACAATGGTAATTGGGGACTGGGAACTTCATAGTTAATTGACATGGTTGTAAAGTGACCACGCTGACTTATGACAGCAGTTCCATACTTATGACAGCGGTTGTTAGGCAATTCCCGTGTGGTCATTAGGTATGATGTCATGTGATCACTATTTGCAACCTCCTCCTGGCTTCCCCATTGACTTTGCTCGTCGGAAGCCAGCAGGGAAGGTCACAAATGGTGACCACGGGACACTATGATGTTTGTAATTGTGAGCTGGTTGCCAAGCGCCTGAATCATGATCACATGACTGGGGGGGTGCGATGGCCAGAAATTTGAGGACCGGTCATAAGTGCCACTCATTCAGTGCTGTCGCAACTTTGAACAATTGCTGAATGAGTGGTCGGTAAGTGTGGACTACCTATAGTAAGTCTGACCCTGGTATCTGGTGATACCGTTATCAGTGGACCTCAGAGCCAGGAAAAAACAGAAATGACATCGCACTTTACGACTGCATTGCTAAGTGATGGCAATCCCAGTCCCAATTGCAATTGTAACCCGAGGACTACCTATATAAGGTATTTAGGTTGCTTTCCATCAAAAATTAGTGTCAGCTTCTTCTTTTATTTCAAAGGCCTGTGACAAAATACTTTTATTCTTGGAATTTTTTAAAATTAGATTCATTATTATCCAAATTTACCCATCTCACTCTCAGTCTTATTAGTGGGATATATATTGGATATGCATTTTCTTATCTTAACACGTGGCATTTTTTCAGAAGACAGTTATTTAATAAACCTTATCAGTATAAAATTTATATTGTAACATTAGTTTAGCTGATGCTTTGGAATCTACAATTATATCATATGCTGAATAATATAAAGGTTTTACGTAAGTATTAGCGTCATCTTTGTTATTACATTGAAGAAAATTGGCTTCAGTGCAATTTTTTTACAGTTTACATGTGGTTTACTTGGCTTTCTGTTAAGTGGAACGTAACAGGATTAATGAGTTGAGTAATTAGTAAAGTTGGTGAAAGGTATAAAGTAAGATTATGGCAGCCAGCTCAGGCTGCTGTTATATGAGATATGGGAGGTTATAAAAGTGGAAATAATGAAATATCTAAGCTGTATATGTTCTTAATTAGCATTCCTATAAACAACTATTTGTCCCCAAGTAGGAAAAGATACCCATTCATTAATTCAGAGAATATATTTAATGCATTAGTTATTTTGAATGAGTGCTATCTCACTTGGATTTCTGTCATCTAGAATAAATATTTTGTGTTAGCTAAATTGTTACTTCTACCATGAAGATCAAGAATGGAGAAATAAAGTATGCTTCTCAGTTATCTGTATTATTAAAAGAAAATAGTTTTGGCTTTTTGTTTTTGAAAGTCTGTGAGTGTCTGGTAAAGTAAAATAGGTAGCTGTTTTGTAACTTATTTGCAAAGAACTATTGGCTAATAAGTGAAACTAAGCTACTAAAAATCAGCATTATTAGTGTTTCAACACCAGAGAATACTATTATCTATTACTGCCATATACTGTTTTGCAGTAAAAGATTGCAGTTCCTCAATATTATTTAAGGATAATTGTTGTTAATTTTGTGTTAGCAAAATGACCGATAAGACTGTGTAAGACGACTGTGCTTGATCATGGTATTTGGTATATTTTAGAAGAATCAATGCATTAGAGAGTCCACTTACTCAAAAAACTTTGTAGCAAATTATGTGTGCATATTTTCTAGACAACTGATATGTTCATGGCAAAATACTTTTTGAAGCATGTATACCAAATGTCATTTAAAGGAGATAGAGAACATGCTCTAAAACGTTCTATACATTTCATTATCAATTCTGCATTGTCCATAATCAGTTTAGAGAAAATTTGAAGCCTAGTAGTTGATTTATGGGGCCAATTTGTTATGTGATATGAGGAGGGATGTTCACCTTTGAGGGAGAACCAATCAGTAGTTGAATAGTCTCTTGAACGAAAGCAGCTTTCTGGATTGTGATCTTTGTTGAAAAAATTGGCAGCATGATTAGTGTATGCGTTTACTGGCAGTTGCATTTATTCTATATGCCAAATATTTGAGAATTATTCTTATTTCTTTATTCAGTACTGTTGCAACACGGAGCTGATCCAAATATTCGGAACACAGATGGAAAATCAGCTTTGGATCTTGCAGATCCTTCTGCAAAAGCTGTACTTACTGGTGAGTATATATGATTGTAAAGACACGTGTAATTAGCCTCCTAAAGTTCTATCTGGGTTTTCTGTGTGTTGATTTAGTGCTGTTAAGGGTTCAAAATCTACATTGCTTACTGTGCTTACTTTCAGGCAGATGATAGCACTTGCAATTTGTAATTGAATTATTTTGGTTAAAGAGTACATATCTGTAAGTGCTCTTGTGAATTAACTGAAGAGTCTAAGATGGAAATGGAACAGTGGTTAATGCTAAACATCATCCTTAATTTGCCTTTCTCATCTGCCTTCTAATTCAAAAAAGTACAGTTGGGAGAAGCACTACAGTATATCTTTCTCCTCTTTTATATCTATTATAATCAGAAAGAAGGATATCTGAAATTTTGAAAGCACAAGTAAGAATAATAGGAACATAAATTTGGAAGACACCTTGGGGGTCTTCTAGTCCAACCCCCTGCCCAAGGCAGGAGTCCTCATACTATCTCGGACAAATGGTTGTCCAATTGTTTCTTAAAAACCTACAGCGATGGAGCACCCACAACTCCAGGAGGCAAGCTGTTCCACTGCTTAATAATTCTCACTCAGGAAATTCCTCTTATTTCCAGGTTGGATCTCCCTCTGACAAGCTTCTACCCATTGCTTCTTGTCCTACCCTCAGGTGCTAGGAGAATAAATTGACACCCTCTTCCCTGTGGCAGCCCTTTAAATATTGGAAGACTGCTATCATGTCTCCCCTCAGTCTTCTCTTGGTTAAGCTAAACAGACCTAGTTCCTTTAACCATTCTTCATAGGATTTAGCCTCCAGACCCTTTATCAACTCTGTTGCTCTTCTCTATACTCTTTCTAGGGCCTCAGCATCTTTTTTGTATTGTGGTGACCAGAAATGGATGCAGTATTCTAAATGTGGCCTCACCAGTGTAGTGTAGAGCGGGTACTATCACTTCCCTTGATCATGATACTATCCCTCTGTTGATCCAGCCCAGGACTGTGTTGGCTTTTTTGGCAGCTGCAACACCTTGCTGACTCATACTTAAGTGGTGGTCCACCAGGACATCTAGATCCCTCTCATAGGCACTACTGTTGAGCCATCCTGCACCTATGCATCTGGTTTTTCCTGCTTAAGTGCAGGACCTTACTTTTCTCTCCGCTGAACTGCATCTTGTTGGAAAGGGCCCAATGCTTAAGTTTGTCAAGATCCTTCTGAATCTTACATCTATCTTCCAAAGTGTTAGCAATTCCCCCCAGCTTTGTGTCATCTGTGAATTTGGTGAGTGCCCCTTCAATCCCCTCATCTGGGTCATTTATGAAGATGTTGAAGAGCACTGTGCCCAAGACAGAACCTTGAGGTACCCCACTGCATACTTCTCTCCACATAGATGTAGTTCCTTTAATGACTACACGCTGAATGTAGTTAGTCAGCCAACTGGAATTCCATCTGGTAATGGTACTGTCTATCCCACATTGTTCTATCTTGCCAAGAAGTAGGCTGTGGTCTACTTTATCAAATGCCTCACTAAAATCTAAATATACTATATCCACAGCATTTCCTTGGTCCACTAATTTAGTTACTTTATCAAAGAAGGTAATCAGATTTGTTTGGCATGACCTGTCCTTAACAAACCCTTTTATCTGCATGCAGAATGGATTTTCAGGCTTTTTCACATTGGAATATGGGCCTGGAATCTACAACTATGTTGCCTTCTGAATCTTAAATAAACTTTTTCTCATCAGAATTGGAGAAGTTAGCAAATGCCCAGAGAATATAAAAGAAATGTTTAATAATGAATAATTTTGGAAGACAAAATCACTCATTTCCTTCAGGAATTGTAACATGAGCTGGGCAAGACTTGAGGTGACTGAGACCTTGCCTTGTGAGTTTTCTTAGAGTTTTTTCTTGTGAGTTTTTCTTAGAGTTCTTAGAGTTTTAACCCACTTGTAGTCAGGATCCCTGCTCTTCCTGATTTGTGAAAGTTGCCAGGGAAGTGACTGGGGTCTGGGTCAGGGTGTTGATAAATGCATCCCTGGGTGAGGGGGTACTGCCAGCTGCCTTGAAAAAAACATGCCCCCTCCTCAAGAAGCCATTGCTTGATACCATAAATTTTGGATAACTATCAGCAAGTTTCCACCCTTCTCTTCCTTGGAAAAGTTGTTGAGAAGGTAGGAAGGATATAAGTGCAGAGAGAGCCCTGGAGCAAACTGATTATCTGGACATATTTCAGTCAGATTTTAGATCCAGGAATTGTACAGAAATGACATTAATTGCACTTATGGATACCCTCTAGTGTGAGTACAACCCTCCTGGTGTTGCATGATCTCTTAGTGGCTTTCCATACTATTATTATATCCTTCTGGACTGCCTCCAATGGTTGGGAGTGGGAGGCAATGTGTTGCAGTAGTTCTCCTTAAAGTGATGGTTCCAATCAATGACTATAAGAAGGGAGAGATCCATTTCATGACTCCTTAGTTGTGAGGTACCACAGTGCTCAATGGTCCCCCCTTTCTTACTCAGTATCTGCATGAAGCCCTGGGTGAGACCATCTTTCAACACAGGTTCAGGTGTCATCAGTATGCTGATGATACTTAACTTTACATCTTGACTCTTGGCCAAGCAGGTGATACCACTGAAGTGTTGTACTGGTATCTGGTGCTATTAGGGTATGAATAGGGAGAAACAGGGTTAGGCTTGGATTTAGAAGCTATCCAATTCCAGAGAAATATCAGTTTTAGTACTGGATGGGATCACACTCTCCCTCATGGAACTGGCTTGTAACTTCTGGACTTTTAGCTCCTGCTGGTTGAGCAGGTGACAGTTATGTCCAGGAAAGCTTTGTACAGCTACATCTGTTGCAACTCCACTGGTTGGCTCTATTCATAGTCATGCCTCAGTTACTGCTTCACTGGACTATTGCAGTGTACTCTACATAGGGCTGCCTTGTAGAGTAATGAGAAGCTGTAGCTCTATAATATAGTGCCTTCAGGGTTTCCAGAGGAAGAAATGGCAGACTGAAGACGGCTCTGCAAAAAGTGGAGCCAACAACCATGGCAAAGAATGAAGCCAGTGAGCAGGCCAGGTCTTCAGAACCTCTCCAGACAAGGAGAGGACGGGAGATCACCCACATGTGCTCTGAACAGTTGCTCCTTGTGAGAAGACTGCAAGACAGCAGTCCTTGGTGGGTTTTCAGCACTGGGAAATGATGGGAATAGCCATCTTGCTTGCAACCATAATTGGCTTCTTTTAAAGGACACTATGTTCGCAAACTTCCTTTTCTAATCACGTTAGGGAATTGCTTGTTTACTTTTAAGCTATTAGAGACCTTTGGATTGACAAGTCTGAAAAAGCCGGGTGAGTTTGCCTTCAGTCCTTAATGAAAGAAAAATTTAATCATAAGCTTAAGAATTTTAAAAATTTGAAATAAACAGCAAAAAACTAAATGAGACTTTGATCCTAGAAAGTTATAAATTGATTAATTTTAAGTAATTTTAAAAATTGGACACCAGAGGGAACTGAAGATTTTAGTTAAAGGAGAAAAATACACAAGCCTGATTGACAGCTATTAACTGGGACTTATAAAATGATGCAAAACATAACATTGAAAATACTGAAGGACACTTTTGAAAAATGGAATCAGAAGTTATTATCAACAGTGTCAATAGCGATATTGGCTTCTATGAATAGACTGTGTCCAAAAGATGTTATGGTAGATATGGGAGATGAGGAACAAGCTTTATTTGACAAGACAGAGATGGCATCGAAAGTGGATCTACAAATGACAGGCTACAAGAATGACATGGAAAAGAATATCAGAAAGAAAGGTACAAAAGAAACCAGCTGATGTTTCAAAAATCAAAAGGAAAATACAAATAATAAACCAAGAGAGTGACCTGGATACTTTTTTTATAATGGATTTACAAAACAGGCTTGTTAAAACTTTGAAAAATCTTGTGGGAAGGGACAAAGAAGAAATGAAAAGAAATGAAATTCTACACCATTATTTGAATGGACTAAAGATTAAGACTGTTAGAAGTAAAAGGAAGGAATATAAAATTGGCTTATTTGATAAAGGTTAAAATAAGATATGTTGTTATTTCTGGTAAACCTTAATGGATTTTCTGCTGACACCAAGACTGAAAAGATTATGCTTTATGGATTTGTCTATAGATAAGAGATGGGATATGGGATGAAGAGTTCATTGCTTGTAAACTAAGGGGGTAAAGAGTTACTAATTATTTAGTTGTGATTAAGGTTGGGAATCACTTCTTTATACATTTCTTTAACTTTTCTTTCTTTTTTTTCTTTCTATTTTCTACTTTTTTCCTTTGCATCTTTCACTCTTTTTATTCTTCTTTCTTTTAATTTGTATTGGATTTTACTATTGTAATTAAAATCCTTAATAGAATTATATAAAAAAATACAGTGCCTTCAGTAGTTAAAGGCACTTTCACAATTTGTTCATAGAACACCACAACTTTGAGAGCTACACTGGTTGTCAGTTGGCTTCTGAGTGCCATTCAAGGTGCTAGTTAACACCTTTAAAACTCTTCATGGTTCAGGATTTGGATTTTCACAATACTGCTGTCCACCCAATATGATCTGGTATGGTAGGGTTGCTCACCATGTTAATCCCTTTGCTCATGGACTGCGCCTTTACTCATGGACTGCCATTTTCAGGGATCACGAAGACAAGCCTTCTCAATTGCCGCCCCTTTCTATGCCAGCCCTTTGATGTAGACCAGATTAGGAAACCAAAGTTATGAATGCTAATACTACTTTTATTATAGGGTTACAGTAACAGAATCTTGTAAGTTTAATGTGCCTGCCCCCTCTTTGCCTTTATTTTTAAGAAAACTAAGGAGAGTCAAGTCTGAAACATTTTCTCAAATTACATTTCTGCTTTGGTCTTACATTTCTTTAATCTGATTGTTGTCTTGGTTGCAACTCTTCCTCCTGTTCCTCAAGGTTGTTTTTACATCCCATTACATCTAGGGAACAACATTCACCTGGATATCTGA